CTTGTGTACCTGTAGATTTTTACTCAGGATTTGACTTGGACCAAAGGGAAAGAATCATAATTGTGTTGGTTTGTCATCTGCTAGGTGATTTGGTGCTGTGGGTTCGAGTCCTCCTCAAGATAACAAAAATTCTGATGCCTGTGCTAGTGCTTCTGAGAGAGTCGGCTCTCACCCCCTTATACCTAGTTTACTAAAAGTAAAGATTTTAGTAGAAAATGAATAACTAAATAAGTTTTTTTGTACCTCAAATTCTATTTCTGCACCTGCAGCTTTTTTCTCTTCAATTCCTTTAAAAATTTCTTCACAGAACATTGGTACAACACCTTGAATATAACATTGTATTAGAGGTTAATCTGAGTTAACTTTATTTCAGGATCATTAAAGCAGGGTTCTCAATCAGCATGTCCTTATTTCTTTCAGGTTATATAAAAGTTTTTGTATGTGTGTTTTTATTTGTATTTGTATTTTGTATGTGTATGTGTTTTGTATTTGTATTTTGTATGTGTATGGAAGAGAATTTACCTTTATTGACACCGTAACCCACAATAGACCAACTTTTACCACTACCAGTTTGACCATACGCAAACAATGTAGTATTATAACCATCCCACGCATTCTTTAATATTCCTACACCAATATCATCGAACACACGTTTCTATAAATAGATACAAATACACAACATTATCAGTTAACACACATTTCTAAACATAGATACATCATCAAACACATGTTTCTATAAATAGATAAGCTTACATAATACATCATCAAACACATTTCTAAAAATAAATATTGAATAAGGTGTTTTTCAGACTCTGTATAATTGAAAGTTTTTCTGGTTTTTTTTTCCCAAGGAGATGTAAAGTTCTGCAAAAATTGTCCCTTTTACTATACTTTCATTTCATACCATACAGAGTTTAGGGCCCACTATGAACCACTTTCCATAATTTGCTGAAAAACTCAAAATATCACTGACCTGGTCACAGAATTTTCTGCCATTAGGGTGTGAGGGGTCTTGACCGTAAAATCCCCCAGGCATCTCCTTACTGCCATCATGTGACCAGTAACTAAAATCAAATGCAAACTTTTTCTCCTCGCCATCTTCCGGGTCTGTGATAATGGTAGTTGGCCCTTTCATATCGATTATACATTTTGCGTTGCGTTCTCGCTCACGACGATTGTAAGGTTAGGTTAAAGAAAATAACAGGATATTTTGATCTGAAAATCATAATGAATTGATTGATAGGAAACATAAGCAGAGTAGTCTATTATAAAACTTGTTTGAAGAAGGGTACCACAGTTACAGAGGTCAACCACAGTCACAGAGGTCAACCACAGTCACAGAGGTCAACCACAGTCACAGATATTAAACACAACCACGGTCACAGATATCAACCACACTTACAGATGTCAACTGCAGTCACAGATGTCAACCACAGTCACAGAGGTCAACCACAGTCACAGATGTCAACCACAGTCACAGATATTAAACACAACCACAGTCACAGATATCAACCACACTTACAGATGTCAACTGCAGTCACAGAGGTCAACCACAGTCACAGAGGTCAACCACAGTCACAGATATTAAACACAACCACGGTCACAGATATCAACCACACTTACAGATGTCAACTGCAGTCACAGATGTCAACCACAGCCACAGAGGTCAACCACAGTCACAGAGGTCAACCACAGTCACAGATGTCAACTACAACCACGGTCACAGATATCAACCACAGTCACAGATGTCAACCACAACCAAGTCAGTCACAGCTGTCAATCGTCAACTACAGTCTGTGATGTCAACCACAACCTGGTTGTCAATCACAATCAAAAATGACAACTGCAGCCACAGATGCATGAACAAAGATATACTTTATAATTATTCTTTAAAGTTTTAAATATAATATATAATGATGGTATGGTATATCTGATATCTTTGAATTTTTATTGATAGTTAAATCTTTTATTTTCTGCATTTATAAAATTCATTTATCATTCTTGTTTTCTGTATTTATAAAGAAAATGGCAGTAGATTTGTCTCTAATTATTATGTTTATTGAATAAAGATATGGTATCTAGTAAATATTGCAACATATTATTAATAATATAAACTTTTATATCGTAAAGCTAACTAATGACATATTGCAATATCATGTTTTATTGAGACAGTATTATATCTTATTAATTGTGTTTAATACAAAGAAATCAATTGGGAAATCAGTCAGCTTATTGAACTTCATACCAGTTCACTGACAAATACAATATATTTCATACTGTCCTCACACATTTCTTGGTTAATTGAATTTTGCTGATTTTGTGTATGTGAGAGTGAATATAAACAAGACTTTGCCTTCAATAAAAATTCTTTTGCTTAATTAAAACAGAATAAAAACACAGATCTTTCTATGAATTTCAAAAGAAAATGACCCAAACTGGTCCTTAGTGATAGTTACTTTATATTAATATTTCAATCAATGTTCTGTTACATGCTGTCTTCTT